GATTTATTAATTTTTTTTAGAAAAATGAAATCCTTTAAACTAAATAACTAAGTTCTGTACATACAAAGTACTCGTTCTTCATTTAGCTTTGATTTACTTCTTAGAAGCTTTCATCTTTCTGACCATCCAACGTCTTTTAAACCTCTTGGCATTTTGCTTTTTCTGAGATCCTAGAAACAGAAGGTTTTGTGCAGTTAATAATAAAGAGAAATACACAAAAACAATTCACAAATGTTCTAAAAGAAACATGAATGTAAATATTAAAACTAGACACATCATATGCACATACATACTACACTGGCCTCGCCTTCAGAAGCAATTTCCAAATAATTAATGGAAGCCATTATATGGAAAAAATGAATACTTCATGAGAATTTATTACCTCTTTAAAAATGAACATTATTCAATGTATAAAACTATCACATTCAAGAGACCAAAGCTGGATCTTACCCCAGGCATGGTTCAAAAACTGGGCTGCAGCCTTTTTCACCGGTAACCTTTTGTTCTCAAGAGACAGGAACTTGTTTACTAGGAAAGATAATTATTTATCACTTTTTTGTTTAATTTGCAGTTAAAAGAGGAGAAAAATAGTCCATAGGAAAATTACCAGTAGTTCTGTTGGTTCCTGGACCATACAAACAATTCTGTATGAAGGCTTTGGCTGCTTGTTGCCTTGAGTCTCTCAAATCTTGGTCTTTAAGCCTTAGAGCCAAGTAGCTTTTATTCTGGCTGGTGAGCAATTCAAAAGGTCAAAATGAGGCCATGCTTAATTTCAAAATAAAGTATTTTTGTTAGTTGACTCAAATAGTGGGGAAAACCCCCATACACTGTCTGTATACGCACAGGTAAGACAACGAATACAACTAAATCACATGGCTACTTTACAACTAGTGTTTACATTTTAGTAGAGCAAAGAAATGTTTCATTTTTATATAAATATCAAAATTTTTCCAGAGGATCCAGCCTGAAACTGCTGCTAATTAAACCAATACTCTCCCTCCCAAGGTGGGAGTCACCTTTACATCCTACACACAAAATAGATGACTCTTCTTACCCAACAGTCTGTACTTTCTGCACTTTAGCTTTCTTGGAGTCACTTCCTTTCTCAAACTCTTCATTTTTCTTCTGCAAATTAACTAAAAAATAAGTTATATTTCTAAGTAGCATTTGTGTAAAAATAAATCGGGAACATACACTAGAGTTCACTTTAAATATCCACTACACATTGATTTGTTTGTGATTTTTATTTGTAAGAAACAGAAGAGGCCCAAGCTAAATTTGGCCAGGCCTATTCCCATGCTGTCTTTCTAAGGGTCAGTAACATGTGACTGCAGATAATCTGCAAACACGCCTGACACTTAATGTGAAGTTACTTTAATTAGAATAGTTCGTACCTTCTTTCAACTTTCCGGGTGATTTCTTTAGACTAAGGGAAAACAAGAAAAAAGCTGATTGGGATGGCACATAGCAAAGATTACTCAACTTGTTATAAAATTTTATCTGGTTTACAAATAAGACACCCCCATTTTATTACCACCATTCTCAATTTCTACTTAGGATCTTTAATCAGTTTTGGAAAAAAAAGACACACAAGTGAACAATTCCCAAGTCAACAAACTAAATACTAGGATGGGAGTATCTTCTCAGAATTTAAAATCTAGGAGTATATTAGCAGACTTCCAAAGAAGGAGGTCGTTGTAGTTAACAGAGGTAATGTGAAATTTAAGAATTATAATAATACAGTATTTGAAATATGAAGTGAAAGGTGGTAGGCCTGCCTCATCTTATTTAGAGAGATCTCAAAGGATTAATTCAGTTTAGACACAAGAAATAGGGAGGGAGACAAGCACTAGACAGGCCTAGTGGAGAGAAAGGTAAACTGGCAAAACACAATGAGGTCTACACAGCACATGCACAGTGGGAAAGCTAGAGGTGGAGGAGGTAATGGGGTGGAGGGAGGCAGAGAAGGGAGAGGTGACATTTGAGATTGGTTTTGAAAGATGAAAGGGACTCTGCCACCATGATGTATTCAGAATCTGAATAACTGGAAAAGTTCTTTTATTGAAAATCTGAGAACTACAGTCCTAGGTAAAAAATACAGGGCTAAACTTCTGAACTGAAAGCAGTAAGAGGTGACAAGGGGAAAGATGAAAAAAACAGCAAATATTTAAAAGACTAAATTTAGTACAGTTTGATTCCATGGCATAAATGAGGAAGAGGTGGGCAGCATTCAGCTTTAAACATTTAATGGATATTAAAGCTGTTAAATGAAATGGGAACAAGGAGGAAAGATGGGCTGGTGGCAGGTAAAGCAAGTATGGGACAGGCTGAGTTTTAGGAGCCTGTGCCTGCTATATCACTAAAGGATAAATTTCAAGACAGTTTTATTCACACCCTCTATCCTGTCCGGAGTACAAAGACAGTGGGCCAGGTTCATCCAGTTTACTGAATGAACGCTCTGCGATCAGCAACTCAGAAGCTAGAGTTACCTATGCGAACGAACAACAAAAATTTAAAAATGGCAAAAGGCTGCTAAGACGTGGAATATTTTCCTCCACCTTGCCCACTAAATTCCAACATCTACTGTGTAACCTTTTAATTTCAATTTGGTTTCAAATAAACATGTGTACCAGTATGTAATTCAAAGATTGTGCATAAACAAGTAATACAGCAAGATCCATTACTTACTTAGTTTGTGAAGCTGTAGTTAACTTCTCTAGAATAGTATCTGGAAGGAGTTTCCTTTTCTTAAAGACATATTCGAAAATCAATAAAAAGTGAGGTACGTGAAATTATACCCTGGATTGCTTCTGAAACTATCTTAAGGACAGCCCTACCTCTCGGCAAGGAAATTGGGCTGAACACTTCACTATCTCTAAGCTGTGGGAAGACTGGGACCAGGAAACTCAGAACCTAGTCCCCATTCTTCGGAAGACTTGAAGACTGCCCACTGTATTCCAATCTTCACGTCACGGTTATACATTAAAAGCACTTAAAATCACGTCCATCCAAGATCAATTCTGTGGCAAATCTGCTAAACATCAGAGAGCAAACCATTCAACCTCTACGTTTCTAATGCCCTGAGTTTACAAAGCCCTTCACTGAATCCTCACAGAGACCCAGTTTCAGACAAAATACCTCCGCTGAGCGTCGGAGGTGGGACTGACCCTACAATTTCAAGGTCACATCGCTTCCCACTCGCATTTTCAATCGGTGAAACGCAAAGAACACAGGCATCTAGTTTTCACTGTTGTCGGAAGAAAACACTAGCGACTGTTCCCCACCCCATATCCTACCGGCTCTGAATTCTACCCCGAGCCAAGCTGTGAAACGCCTCCCTCCCCTCTAACCTTTTGTTCGATGAACAGCTCCTCACGTCGCTTCCTCTTCTCCTTCAGAAGCGTTTTATCCCTGGGAGAAAGGGTGACAAGTCAGCGCGGCCAGGGACGAGCCGGACGGGAAGGGGTCGCCGCCCGGCCGCGGGCTCCGAACCTGCGCACGGTGTCCCGAACTCGCCGCTCCTCTTCTTTCGCTTCCGCCTGGGCGCTGGCGAAAGTCAGCTCCTCCGGGGCCTCGTCGTCCTCATCGTCTCCTTCCTCGTCTTCCTCCAGCGGCTCGGCGGCCGCGCCGCTGCTGGGCTGCCCGAGCAACAGGCCGTGCTCCGCCGCCTCCTCAGAGGCGGGCTGGCCCTCGTCCACCATCGCAGACGCCGACGCCGGGGCACGAGACGCGCGCGGCCGGAGCTGCACCATGACCCAAGCTGCGTCGTACCGCCTGACCTCTGACCCGGAAGCTGTGTCCAAGCAGAGCGTGACGTAAAGAGCAGGCGACGCGGGTTCTATTGCCCTCTGCAGTTTCGGAGGCCCTGCTGAGCTACGCAAAGGCGCATGCGCAGAGCGGGCAGGGCGTGGCCTAAGGAAAGTCGGAGGCGTTCCCTCCCACCCGGCTCCGAGGCTGCGCGTGGGAGGCGTCGCGGCTGTCTCGCGGTCCACACCTGCCGGGACGGGAGCGGGTAGTTTTGGGTCTTGTTTCTAGGCGGGATGAGATCTATCCTGCTGCCTCTTCGGGAGGGATGCTGAGAGCAGGGTTGACTGGGTCCCCACGCTCCTCGAAGGGGGCTGGCGCGGGTCACGCCGTCCGGTGCCCAGGAACCGCTGACCGCAGGCCCCAGACGCCGACTTTTTAGGTCCGGGATCTGCTTGGTCGATCCAGTTGATCAGTATTTGTAGATTCGGCTTCCTTCACTCCGCACTCCCCAAAGAAGTGCAGTTTCAAAAGGAAGAAGTGGGCTACGGCAGCAGGACCCCGTGCCTTTCAGTGCTTTTGTCCCCGACGGAAACCAGGTCGACAGACACAGACTTAACCAATCTTCGGCCCCAAACGTGTGCTTGGCGGCCTGGGCCGGTCTCCCGGAGCGCCAGCCCTCGGCCGCTGCCCGGCCGTGCTTCTGTTCCGCGTTCTCCCCGCCGCCTCTCCCTCACGGTTAGTTTACTACTGTCTGACTCCCCGGTTACAGCGTGAGCTCCCGCCCCGCCTGGCTCCCTGCTGTAACCCGGACCCACCGGGCTTGCACGGTGGCTGCCCACCGCTCATCCCGAAACCGGCAAGAGAATGGCCTCACCGTTACGTAGTGAACGCAACCCTAGTATTGTGTATATCTATCCCCCGCCCCCGAAGCCCCCCAGTACATGTATTTCATTTCCTAGCATACGTGGCTCATCGTGATCTTTGTGTTTATCTTCTCCCACCCATTATACAGCAGCAAATGATTCATCACTCTCTGAACAAACCAAGCTATTTCCTACTTGCCTTGCATTTGTGCATGCAGTTCCGACTACTGATACACACTCCCCTACCTGGAACTCCTATTTATACTTCAAAACCTCCCACCCAGGATGACTTTCTCTTAAAGCTTTTCAAGCCCCTCAGCATCTACCCCATCCCCACTCTGCCCATTTCTAATCGCATTCTCCTCTGAATCTTGCACACATTTCTGTTACTGTAGTTTCCACACTATAATAGTGACAGTTGTCCCAACCAAGTCCCTGTGAATTCCTCGAGGATAAGGTCCATACAATACTAATCATTGTATTTCTAACATCCATCATATGGTAGGTGTTCAGTAAATACTAAATTGAACAATCCTACTTCACATAAATTTTGTAGTATTTTCAGTTCTCTTTTCATCATCTCTGATTTAGAAGCAATTTCTAATTTAAAAACAACAAAACCAAAACATGAACAAAAATGGCAAAACAGAAACAAAGCTGCTGGTACCAACAGCCTACCAGGAAAGCAGCTGCAAAGAACAGTTCCAAAATATCTGGGCCTTGGTCAGATAGAAATTACAAATTAAAAATATAATCAGACTCCCTGAGACAGTCTGCTGACTTCCATCACTGATAACACTAGGAAAATGTATAGAGTTCACTTTGAGAAGACCAACAACAAACCTATTACAAGTGAATGGTAGTATTGTATGTACACAAACTCCGTTATAAGTATTACAAGTCCCCTCAGTGTACATGCTTTGATCGCCCATGTAAGGTATGAATGGAGCCCTCAGGGTGCCTGGCTGGTACTTCAGACCCCCTGCAGGTCATGGACATCCCTCTTGCCCATGCAAAGGATCCTTGGGGTTTGTTAAAAGGCATGACTTGCAAATCAGCGCAAAGTTTTACGTCACAGTGTCTTGTCATCTATTTCTACAAAAGCCCAGGGTGCGATACGAAATGCAGTTTTCTAAGGGGCAGAGGTATTGTGGCCCAGCTGCGTCAGCACCCAGGGAGCCCACCTGATCCAAGGGACCTAGTTATGAACGACCTTCCTTCACTGTTTACTAAAGGCCACTCCTCCGTCAGGCCTCTGATGCTCGCCAGATAGCAGGCACCCTTGGGTGCTACACTGGGTGGAGGGACTTGAGGAGAGAACTGTATTCTTCCTACTTCACTCCAAGGCACTATGACACACATTTTTAAAGTCCCATGGGAAAAACTTTGAAATCTCATTGTCTGGGGAAGGCGTGTGTTTATGATATTGAGAAATGTGCTTCTGTGCTTATGATATTGAGAATCTGCCAACCATCACCACTCCCCTCCGCTCCGGGCTGCTGAGGCCATTGCTAAATCTTAGGCAGCTGTGTTTGTCCTTGTGGTCATGTATTTGCATCACTCTCTTTTCTCATCCTGATTTTCTACCTTGTTGCTAATTTTCTCTTCCTTCCTTGCATAAGTTCTTGCTGTAAGCTACTCCCCTCTGGAACTTGAGGTGAGGCACCCAAACAAGATAAACCCTGAAAAGACAAAGCCCCCAACAAAGACATCTCTTGGGGTAACATCTTTATACCATAAATTACCTCCTGCGGAGAGTGATTCTATCTGTCCACCAAACCTTGTGCAAAAATTAGAAATACTGGGGTTTTACCCCTCTCCTTAAATCATTGCCCAAATAGCGAAAATACAATCAGGATAATTACTTTTTTCAGACAATCTAATCACAAAATTTTTTCTCTCCAAAAACCAAACACATCAGAGGTATCTTATGTTTAGGTTCAAACCACATAACATGAATTGACTTTACAGTTCTGTGCCTTCTCCTTCTAGACATGTTTACTACTGTCACTTCCAATCCCTCATCGCTTATCAGCAGTTTGGATTCCAGCCAGGGAATCAGAAGATATTTTTAGACCTTCCAGTGTTCAGCTCACCATCCACAAGACTGTTTCTCCTGTTTGTGGCCTGCTACTTAGCTGTGCTGTGATTTCTTCCTTCCCCAGGACAATTAAGAAGCGGTTTCAGTTTCATGAGGAGCAAGGGCTTCAGGAAGAGTCGTCCCACAGGGCCCCTGGAAATGGAACCTGAAATAGCAGGACAACACAGAAGAGTTAGGAGCAAAACGAATATTCTGCTTCCAGCAAGTCAGCTCTCTTAGTTACACGCAGAGGAAAATCCAGATTCTCACAAAAAAGTCCTTATACATTTTGGTACCCAGTTCTTGGATCTAGTTTCTGACAACTCCAAACGCAGACACTTCAGTGTGGGCTGGTCCCCGTCACCAAGGGAATCTGGGAAAGCAACTGCCTAGAATTTAGGTGCTATAAAGAACTTCATTTTAAGGAGGAAGGGGGGGCACGATTGTGAAGCATACTTGATGACTGCTTTGCCAAACTCATAACTGAAATTCTTAGACTTACAAATCTACATACTATATTAAAGCAGCATTCACAGGTACTCAGGACAAGAGAGAAAGAACCTCCTGCACCAGGCAGACCACAGGGCTTTAACTGAATGTAAGGCCTCTCGAACCATCCATTGGAATTCACGAAAGTAAGAAAAAAGAGAAAGAGCGAAGAAAGAGGAGGGAGAAAAAAAGAAGAAAAACCAATGATTTCTGCTTCCTTGAAGGGAAAACACTTAGGACAGGGGAAAAGCCCAACTAATTTTAATGTAGTTTTTTAATTGAAGCAGAGTTGATTTACAATGTTGTGTTAGTTTCTGGTGTACAGCACAGTGATTCAGTTATGTATTTTTTCTTTTTCATTATGGGTGATTACAAGTTATTGAATACAGTTCCCTGTGCTACATAGTGGGACCTTGTTATTTCTAGTGTATTATGAATAAGAAAACTGAACACAATTAAAAATGAAAAAACATTCGGTCACATTATTTACTCTTGATAAAGCACAAATCATGACGGCCTAAGCCCTGAAATACTCTGTGCTCTCAGTGGAGCGCCATGAACGGACATTCCTGACCAAATGGCATCTCTGATCCTTTTCTTACATGGGCATTTCAGCATATAATGTAGAAGGAGGGCTGAAATCTGAGCAGCAATGCTGTAACGAAATTCCTTTCATGCCCGCGTTTATGTGACCCAGTTTCTCAGTACTTCCATCTTTAAATATCAAGAACTAAGAACTACAATTGATACTGAAAAGGTGAAATTTAGCTTGGCCAGTAAAAATCCGCCCTGCCATCTCTCAGAGTGGAGTTAGAGACACAGATGCAGCCAGCTGCAAAGCTAATAAGAAACAAGACTTTTTTTTTCCCCCAAGACAAGCTGCAAAGTATCGTAACAACTTCCTTCTTTGGGTGACCACTGCTTTTTTACTTACTGAGGAATTCTGTTCTGTGTGAAATCACACACTATCAGGTACTTCACTGTTTGAAGTGACTGCGGTAAAGAATGAAACATCCCCTGGGCCTGGAGGGCTTTAGTCACTTTGCCACCAAGAAGCAGCCTTCCTTCCAGCCCAGGTGCAAAGCTCCAGGTAAGGAGTTTCTGGGCCCAGTGTCCCACATCTACCTTCTAGCTGTAGTTTCCAAAGACACAGGACCCTGCAACCACTTGCCCACCAGACCAGATCCAACCCCCTCCACACACACACAGCCCTGCTGGTTGCTGAGTGAGTCTATTAAATGCTTCATTTAAATTTCACCTAAACTTAACCTTCCTTCCAAGTCCCATAACAGCTCCATCTTTTCCTTTGTTTGGGGCCACTCCCTGCGGTTCCACTAGGATAGGTGCGGCTCCTCACTGCGGTAAGTCAGGAAGTCTGATCTCGGAATACAGGTTTGTTTTGGGTGATCCTAGGCAGATTGGGTGACAACGCCACGAACTCTGTCTCCTTCTAATAGTAAGTAATATTCAGCCATGGATACATGGATTCAAAAAACTCATATCCCATGCAGCTGTTAAGAGATGTACTTCCTGTCAAGTTTGACTTTTATGGAATTATTAATCAAAATGTATCCGCTGCTAGGTGCTACAGATTACTGCAGTGATAATTCCATCTAGAAGAATTTTTCAATGCAACAATGTTTAAGTTTTAAGGAAACTGAAAATAAATAATTCATATATTTTGCCATAGAGGTATAATAGGAGAGTCAACCGAAGACTTTCAAGCATAAGAATGTATGCGTATAAATTTCTGTGGTGGCAGCAGAATGGGGACACAAGTTCAAAGAGAAAAAGAAAAAACTGTGAGGGTTCTAACTGTTGAAAGGGGCTTGTATATTTATTTTGTAAACGGGTCGCGGTGGGGACCGCGTAGCTGTGACCTTCAGATTTGACGGGATACGTCTCAACCAGGATAATGGCATTCTCGCGTTTAAATGTCCAATACACTTGGAATCAGAGCTTTCTCAATGATTTTGATAGATTTTAGATGTCGAGTTTAAAAATATAAAAGGGGGACATGAAGCAAAGTGCTGGCTGCCTCTGTCCTGGGAGCAGGTGTCTGTGCCCCTCCCTCCTCGCGGTGCAGGACAGCCGAGAGCACTGTGTTTCTTCCAGAATACGTTCATGCCGCTTTCACTGGTTAATGGAATTACCCAATTTAATTAAAAACTAGGTAATAAAACTACAAAAATATAGCTATTAAAAGAGGGTTACTTCTAGGAAAATGAGCTGAGTGCTTTGGAAGGACATAGCAGGTTATTAAAAATAACTGTTAAAACTAGGTGTAGGTGGAAAAGACGGGGGGGCCGCTTCAGGAGTTTCTTTTCATATGTTCTTTCTCCATTTAAAAAAAGACCAAAAACGGAAAAATATCAAAACCAGAAGTGTGTTTCCCAAGGTTTCCTGATGATAAGAATCACTTGGGTCACTTGTTAACTATACGAAAAAACAGTCCTCTTGCCCTGGAAATTCTGATTCAGGAAGTCCAGACAGGTGCCCTGGGATCTGATTTTCTTGGTTGACTGTTTTGTTTTATATTTTATAAAATAAGGGCTGGGGTGATTCTTGTCTTCAGGGAAATTTGGGGAACGTAGGGAGGATTATAAGTATGATTTATGCAAGAAAGGTGAGCCCTGATCAGCAGATTTCTATGCAGAGAAAAGGCCTTTAGTGCTATAAAAAAAAAAAGCAAAAAAGCAAATGAATACATGTTTATGCCTTAAATGAAAATGAAATATTGAAGACATATGTTCTTTTTTTTTTTTAATTCCTGCTTTAAATGGCTTTTTTGGTTAACAGGCACTAGGTCCCTTTGCCTGGACTCACAGGGCCCCTATGCCCACCCTGATAACCCAGCAGGCAGAGCACCGGACTCCCTACCAAATGGGGCCAACTGGGAATCAAAGAAGGAACCCCATCACACTCTTGACAAGTAAACACATAAATAAAACAATCTGTAAAACCACTTTCTAGCTAAGAATTCCTTACACTTCCAAACTCCACCTGCAGTGAGCTCTCTTTGGAGCACCTCCCCCACATAAACACGTCACTTCCCTTACTGACCACCTCTTCTGGGACCACTCCCCCTCCCGCCCTCCCTCCCCTCACCTCCTGGCTGTCCCTTCAGACCTCAGGGCTGCCTTTGCTCCAGGTGGCCCTGGTGCCTGGAGAGCTCTTATTAGCCCAGATACACTCTTTAGTTAACTCCGTCAGCTCCTCCAAGTCTTCTCAAATCTCTTCTTAGTGAGGCTCAACCCAACTCCCCACTAAGTCCTGCAACCCGTCTGCACCGCCAACTCTATCTTCGCTTTTTCCCACGGCCTGAATCCCACTTCTCACGCGCCACGGAGTTTATTAGAATGATTAATTGTTTACTGTTTGCCCCCACCGCTAGAATGCCATCTTTACATGGTAGATTTTTGTTTTATTTACTAATACATCCTATCCTGAGCACCGAGAACAGTGGTACATGGTAGGTACTAAGAAACATTTGTGGACTTCAACTAAATTCCACAGCTCAGAGAAATTCAAAGATGAACAGCCTGGTGGTCACAGGGCCTGGAAGGCCTGCATATCGGCCTCTCAAGGAGCACAAATCCTGTTTCTGCCTGAACAAATGCACAGATCCTCACATGCCAACGACCCCTGGGGCTGAGTAGCAGTCAGAACCTTGAAGCCTAAATCCAAAAATTCCTAGTATAACGGTTTTTCAGAAATCATCCAAGACAACCAGCAGGGGTGGGGAAAATGACAATAAACAAAACCGGAACCAGTTAACGCCTGAAAATACTAATACTTCAATGGGAGGCAAATTTTATGACTTGGTCTCTAAATGAGAACTGGGGCAAAGAATCCAGACAACTTGTGCAAGATCGAAGGGGTCTTGTGAGATCCAGGTTTAAAATGGAGGCCGCATTCCTGCTACCAATTTAGGTAATAGAGAAAATCAGGTTAAAAGGAAATGCTCATTCCAATTTTCAATTTTCTTATTAAACCAGAGTAGGGCTTGGCAATTTTTTTTTTCTGTAAAGGTCCAGAGAGTAAATATTTTGGTCTTTGCAGACCAGTCTCTGCTGCAGCTCCTCACTTCTGCTGTTTAAGTGCAGAAGCAGCCACAGACAAGACAGGAACACATGGCCATGGCTGGGTTCCAATAAAACTTTATTTACAAAATCAGATGGTGGGGGAACTTGGCCTACAGGCAGTAGTCTGCTGACCCCTGACCTAGACCAAAGTTCTGCCAACATCTGTTACGTACGAGATGTGAGAAACCTGCTGCTGTTAAGCTGCGTATTTAGACAAGCACCCCGCCCCCATCACTCTAGGCTCGGTTCCCCACCTGGAAAACTGAGCAGGACGAGAAGATGATCGACCCCCGTCTCCTCTAAACGTCAGCTGTGACGACTCCTTAGATAAAAGCATCCCAGCTTCACTGGGCAGTTACACAAAGCTGGGAGGATTCCCAGACTTAGTGGTACAGAGAGCCCCAGCTCCCAGAGAAGCCCGCCAACACACGGCCTCAGGGTTCCTGTGTTCTGCGCTGTTCCGTGGGTAGCTTATCCCATCTGATCGAAGTCTTTAACTAGCTAGTGGCCTGCTTGTCTGAACAGAGACACCGCGGGTTTTCAGGGTGTGAAGCTGAAGACTCCTGGCTGAAGAAGGGCAGCCGCTGAGGCACGTCTGTGGCTTTAGGAGGCCCAGCTCACGCAGTAATACCATTAGATGCCAAGAGTCTCTTCTTCACTTGCAAGGAAAACCGCCCAGCTCAGTTTCCTTTCACATGAAGATATCCAGTCCCTGCTGGTCTGTCCTGGGCGTGAGAGGTAGAGGCCAACTTGTATCTTGGGTTGTGGAAACACTCAAGGTTTATTTTCTTCTTTTTCCCTATCTGCATCTTCTTGCTTTTCTATATGATGATTGTTTTAATTCTGTACACTTGCTAGAGAGGAGCTGGAGATCAAATGACTGAAAAGAAGCCACATGAGAAGGAGAATGGGACTGGGGTGGAGCTCATTTCCAGCTTCAGGACATCTGCCCCGTCCCACCCTGGGGCACTCTGGTGCTCCTTCAAGTGGACGAGGGGCTTGGGTTACCTGGTGACATTCCTTTTGATGATGCTGCTAGTCCAGGTGCTAATGTACATGCCACAATGTATCTTAGTGGGTAAGTTAGAAGACAATAATTTTTTTTAATAGAACAACTTTACTGAGATATAATTTACATACAATCCATTCATTTAAAAGGTATTCTTTCTCTTACTGATTTGTTTTCGTACCACTTTCAAAAATT